CTGAACCGAGACAACAGAACTTCCCAGTGTCTGTCCGCCATGCATTTCTTTTCCGATTCCCCTGCATCCTGGGATCGAGGACAAGTCTCATGTTTTAGAGACTATGTCTCAGTCTTCCCTAGTCTCTAACACTCACCAAAATGACTGGGGAAGCTGGCAACATCTAGTATGACCTTGACAATGAAGCCAGAGGCCTTGAAGAAACTTCAGGGGCATCCTGAATACCACCTGTGTGGCGTGGTTAAACACCTAAGGCTGCGGGCTGCAGAACATCATTTCATACTGGCTTCCGAATCAGTCTCTGCTTGAAACTCCAGCAGGGATAAAGAAAACCCTTCCCTACTTTTCTTAGGATCACTGTGGCTGTTGGCACTATCGCCAAACAAAAGGAGAGAAGATACAGGAAGTGTCCTGGTTTGCACAGGCTGCTTCTACCATGGCGAGCTGCTATGGGCCTTGAAGGATCTGATAAGACTGTTTTTCAGGAGAGGAATCTCTTTTTCCTATGATGAACTCTACAGTAGGTTAGATTTGTGCTTTACCTATGTAATAGCCCTGCACTTCTTAAACAACTCACACGCACGCAGGCACACACCCCATACCTGTCAAAAACAAGACAGTATGGGACAAAAGGTCCAAGAATGGAGTCACATGAGAATTCTGAGTGCTTGTGGGGAAACAAGAGTCTTGGGACCTCAGTTTCTCCAAAACCATGGACTTGCTCTCAAAATGTGGTTTTGTGTTCCACCTAGGTATAGCAGACAGAGTGAGTTTACTTCCAATTATTCATGACAAATACCTGTTGGAAAAACATGTTTTTTGCCACATGTGGCTTGTCCTTGTGGTGGCACACTTTTCTGGGGTGACTCTTCTTAACCCTCGCAGTATAAATTGTCTGATGCTCTGAATAAAGTCAGCTCTTGCATGAGACCTTAGCCCACCTCATTTATCAGCTCCATACTCCCAGGTCCCACCGCCTCTAGAGCAGTACACGGAGAAGATGAAGCGCTTGGTTACGCTGTGTCCCTCCACTAAATTATAATGAACAGCCAGGAGGGAAGGATCCTACGCCAACGGTGATGTGACCTCTGCCAGCCACTAGCCTGACGTAATTAGGTGCCCTATAAATAAATACTTGTTGTCTTAAAGGATAAATGGACAAACTCACTGCTTTCCCCTGCTGCGTGAGGGCTGAAGGGAAAGACTAGCTCAGTGTTTGGACAAGTGCCTGATACATTCCGGTTGTCAGGGCAGCATTCATCAAACCTCAGCTTAACTTCTCCCGTGCACTCACATTCCAACAGAGACAACTTTAAAGTACATTTAGAGAGGTAATGAACACCTACACAAACAACCCAGCGTGGAGGGCACTGTTCTGAGGCAAAGGCGCTGCTTCCAAAGCTACCCAGGCAGTCAGTGAGGCAGAAAAGGGGTTTCCATACTCCAAATAAGACAAATGCCGTTAGCTAGCATGAGCTGGTGTTTGCGAGACATCAACCATGTTCCAGGAAGCAGGACAGACACCTCACATATATGTTCCAGACAATCCCTATGCCTTAGGGTTACTATCAACTGTGATGAAAAGCCATGGCCAAAGTAACGTGGGCTAGACAGGGTTCATTTTACTCTCGGCTCCACATGTAATAGTTTAATCATCAAAAGCAGTGAGGGCAGGAACTAAAGCAGAGCAGGAACCTGCAGGCAGGCACGGACACAGAGGCCATGGAGGAATCCTGACTGGCTTTTTCAGCCAGCTTTCTTATAGAACCCAAAACCATCAACCCAGGGACAGGACCACCCACAGTAGGCTGGGCCCTCCCCCATCAATCACTAATTAAGAAAATGCCCTTGCCAAAATGCCTTTTGCCAAAAGCCTGATCTAATGGAGGCATTTTCTCAATTGAGGTTCCCTCCTTTCTGAAGACTTTAGCTTGTATCTCGTTGACATAAAACTATACAGAGCGCCTTAAAACTTCCCAGGCTTCCCAAGAATTATCATCTCTGTGCCGTAGATTTTTTTTAAATAGCACTCAGAGAAACGTCTTTCTGAACGTGAAATCACACAGATTAAATCCTGACTCTTCCTAGCTGTGTAGCTGCAAGCCAACACAGCTTAACACATAGGTTCACTGGTTTCCTTACCTGTAAAATGGAGATTACCGTCTCCTGTCCATCTCCAAGCTCACTCTCCCGCCACCAGCCTTTTGAGTTGAGACAGCAAAGCTGGCTTCTTGCCACATCATCCTGCTTGTTATAGCGCCCCCTACTGGAGAGTAGGGGAGCTTGCGCTAGGTTGTGGATTTAGTGGGAGAACGGCCACCTCCTTCCAGAGCACTTCAAGACCATCTCAGCGAGGACAACATTGTTTTCTCCCCACAGAGCCACTGAGCGCGGCTTTTCCGGTCAAAGACTCGGTAGCTCCATTGTGTGCCCTTCAAAGACACCAGTATTCACAAGCTAGAACCCCGTCTCCACGACCTGAGTTCACCCATTCCGAAGGCTGCTTTCCGATCCAGGAGTTCGATTTCTTGCGGTTCTCCTTCTGCCCCTCCCATTACCTAGTTAATAACCTTACATGTGGTCAGCGGCTCTCCCCACTTTATTCTCTGTTTAATTGTCTGCTGACAGACCCCGGGGAAGGCAAGGTCTGTCAGAAGGTGGGGTGTATTAATGTGTCAATCATGGCTCAGTGAACCCACCTACCTAGAGCACAGGATTAGCTGTTACGGTTCTCTACTGAAAACAGCAAGACCATTCTATTGTTTGCCTGGGAGGTATGGCAAGGACACTGGAAGAGTAACATTTTAACTCTGACCCCCTCCACAACTGAACATAAACGTCTCCAGACTTTAAGAATCCTACGCGTACCATCCCCCCAAGAATCCACAATGAATTAACATATTGTGTGTATATATGTATGCAAGTCTGAAGACCGAGTTATGAAATTTCAAGTTTCTGACTATCTGTTTATTTATTTTGGATGTGGTGGGGGGGAGTGGGTCCCAGTGGAGACCAGAAAGGGTGTCAGATCCCTTGGAGCTGGGATTACAGACACTTGTAAGCTGCATGGGTGCTAGGATCAGAAACTTGGCCCCAGTAAGAGCAGCCAAGAGCTCTTAACCACTCCAATTCTTTGTTCTTATAATTTCTAAGCTATCAATGAAATATAGAATTAAGAAAACTGTCCATTTCTTCACCTTACACCCATCAGAATGGCTAAAATCAAAAACTCAAGTGACAACACATGCTGGAGAGGTTGTGGAGAAAGGGAACCCTCCTCCATTGCTGGTGGGAATATAAACTGCTACAACCACTTTGGAAATCAATCTGGCACAGACAATTAGAAACAGCGATTCCTCAAGATCCAGCTATACCACTCCTAGGCATATATCCAAAAGATGCTCAAGTGCACAACAAGGACATTTGCTCAACCTTGTTGATAGCAGCTTTATTCATAATATCCAGAAGCTGGAAACAACCCAGATGTCCCTCAGGTGAGGAATGGATACAGAAATTGTGGTACTTTTACACAATGGAATAATACTCAGCAATTAAAAATAAGGAAATCATGAAATTTGCAGGCAAATGGTGGGATCTAGAAAAGATCATTCTGAGTGAGGTATCCCAGAAGGAGAAAGACACACATGGTATATACTCACTTATATAGACCTATAAGGTAGGATAAACATACTGAAATCTATACACCTAAAGAAGATAAACAAGAAAGAGGACCCGGGGTAAGATGTTCAACCCTCACTTAGAAAGACAAATGGGATGGACATTGGATGTAGGAGAAAACAAGAAACAGGACAGGATCCTATGACAGAGGGCCTCTGAAAGACTCTACCTAGCAGTGTATCAAAGCAGATGCTGAGATTCATAACCAAGCCTTTGGCAGAGTGCAGGGAATCTTATGAAAGAAGGGGAAGTTAGTATAACCTGGAGAGGACAGGAGCTCCACAAGGACCAAATATATATGGACACAGGGGTCTTTTATGAGACTGTTTCTCCAACCAAGGACCATGTATGGATATAACCTAGAACCCCTGCTTGGACGTAGCCCATAGGAGCTCAGTATCCAAGTGGGTACCCTAGTAAGGGGAACAGGGACTATTTCTGACATGAACTCAAAGGCTGGCTCTTTGACCTCCCCTACCTCCCCAGGGAAGAGCAGCCCTGCTAGGCCACAGAGGAGGACTTTGCAGCCAGTCCTGAAGTCACCTGAAAAACAGGGTCAGATGGAAGGGGAGGGGGTCCTCCCTAATCAGTGGACTTGGAAAGGGGCGGGGAGGAGATGAGGGAGGGAGGGAGGGGTTGGGAGGGAATGAGGAAGCAAGATACAAAGTTAATAAACTGTAACTAATATTTAAGAAAAGAAATACAGAATTAAAAAATCATCAAGTGCTTATTTGCGCTAGGCACTGAGCTGTTTTCATACATCGTCCCATGTTTGCCCTCGAGATTAGACTGCAGCAGGAGGTCGAATCCTCTTCCTTGCACAGATATGTTCAAGGTCACATAATGAAGCCACAGAACTGAGAACTGAAGCCAGTTCTCTTGGATTCACGGAGCTCATGTTTTACAAATTCACTGCAGACCACAGGTAAAGGCCGCTCTCCACAGCAGACGCTGAGACAATAAATTTTAATAAAATATAAACTGAGATGGGCACTTCCTTCAACGGGGAAGACATGGAAAAATAAAAACAGAATCAAGGAGTGTGCCCTCTGACCTTGCATTCAGAATTCCTTTAAGCCACGAGGAGACATCAAGGCTCTGCCCCTGGGTTTGAGATTGGCTCTCTAGTTCTGTTTCAGGTCAAGGCTCTCACCCTCACTTCAGTTTTATTGTTGTGAAAGCAAAGCCAATGAGCAGTAAAAAGTACTTTTCTCTAGGTATGTCTTGGTCTTCCAAAGACAAATATTCCTGTTGCGGGAAGGGCACACGCAACAAAAATAGTGGCTTGTTAAATGAATAGAACACAAGGGAAAAAAACATACCTTTTGCTTTGTGCTTGATTTCAGGCCGACTTGGGATTTTGACTAGAGGAAAAATAAGAGAGAGAGAAATAGAAAGAAATCTATGAAGAACGCAGCATCGTTGTAGGATTTTATGTTAAAGCTGTTTCTTCTAGAAGATAGAAGTTTTGAGTTAAAGCCTCTTCCCTTAACTTTCCATTACAGCATCTAGAAATCGCAAAAACACCACTTAGACACCACCCTGGATTTTATTCCCTGAATGGGAGCCTGTGCAAGCCCTATAGCTGACCATGCCAGCCCAGCCTGCACTCTGTCAGTGCCCTGTTCATAGTCAGCAGTTCAGCATCTTTTCCTAGAGGACACAGCAGAAACCAACCAAGTGCAGCACATGAGGAAACACTCGCCACTAGGAGAGGGCAAAAGGGAAGAAGAGTGGAGATGAATAAAAGCAGAGGCAAGGAGGAAGCAGAGGATGGACACCGCACTCTGCGAATGGGAGAGAGAGAGAGAAGAGAGACTCAGTGAAGAAATGGGCTGGGTCACGGCAACGCTTCTGAGCACGTTTCTAGAGGGTACACCTTTAACAACTCTGCTCATCAAAAGGTGTCTGCATTAGATTGGAACAAAGCGCTTAGGAATATAAGCTTGTGTTGGGGGAGGAGGAGGTCGTTCTTCCAGGTTGTTCATGAGGATCTAAATTGACTAGGGACTAGTAAAGGTAAAGTAGGCACTGAACTAAGCATAAAAATATTTTCACATAGGATATTATGAGTTTTCTCCCCATGAGAAAAAAAAGGAAAAGTCAAACTTTGTATACTTATTATTCAGATAATGAATGTATTTGACCTCAAGTGGCTGAGGAATCTGTTAATTTGAAACCAAAGACTACAGTATAGCTAGAGAAATGTCTTCCAGGGTCAGCAATCTCAAGGTTTTTGGACTTGGGAGATTATATATATATATATATATATATATATATATATATATATATATATATTTTTTTTTTTTTTTTAATTCCTGACTCTCACAAAGTGCTTCCATATCTACTTATATTTATGTTTTAACAACTGGAACTGAGAGTTTTTTCAATATGTACTTATTAGTTTGTTTTAAAATAACAATAGTAGGCCCATTATGCATTACCTAGAGTAAATTTACAGATTCTGTGTGTATGTGAAACAGAAGGATATTATGAGAAAACAGCACTTACATTTTTTTCTAAATACTCTCAACCTTTGGACTGAGTAGGAAGTATTAGGCTATTAGGTCTCCTCTGCATTTAACCTGCTTTGTCTGCTATGGAGCCTATTCTCACCCAGATATACAGTTGGCAAACCCATGTCCAGAAATTCTGTCGTTGAAAACATCTATGCTAAACAACCTACCAGGAGAAAAGGCTGAGTTTGGCATAAGGTTGCAGAGGAATCAGCTGCTTGTCCTCATCACTTGGGGCCATAAGCAGGGCCAACAGCACAGTGGAGTTCATATGGAAGGACAATGCTGTTCACCTGCTCACAGTATGGTTGGGGAAGGAGAGGGAGAGGGAGAAAAGTACAAACAAAGCATACACTGCCTTGCACAGCTCTGACACAAGGGTTTGCACCTAGTCTTATTGTATCTTGTTATGTTATCTTTGGCTATTGTTCTTGGGAGGCCTGCTCTTTTCTCAAGGGGAATGTGGGGAAGAGAGGAGGTGTTGGGGAGGAACCGGGAGAAGAGGAGGGGAAACCGTGGCCAGGATGTAATAAATGAAAGAAGAAGAAAGCATACCTGAAGCAGCCAACATCCTGCAGGTAGGCCCCACCTTCTAAGGTTTGCGTCATGTTCCAATAAGGTGTATGTATCATTCGGGGGATAAAGGAAGAGGTCTCATGCTCCAATCACTTTCCAGGGGCCTCACCTCTGAACATGCTCTGTTAGGTTCCAAACATGGGCTTTTGGGGAGCATGTTAGGTATGTAAGATCCAAAGCATAACTTGGCAGAGGCGGGGGAGAGCCTAAGCTAGTTCCCAGGAGTGAGCATTTGATAATGGTGATGTTTCGTCATAATCTACGACCCACTCATCTGAGGATGACAAGTGTGAAAATACAGGGAGCTGAGGAACCTCTTTGAGGAACCTCTTTTTCTTTCCCCATTAAGTGGTTATTAACAATCCTAATTTGATTGAACTGTGTGGGTGACCAGGGAGAGCTAAAACAGGATAAAGGTTGGCAGATTACTCAAACTAGTCTAAACCAGACTTGCAATCCTTCCTTGACATTGCTAACCTACAAAAATACACATATAAATTCTGTTTTCATTTATTTTTGGGAAATTTAAATGTGCTTATCATATTAAACACCATGAATCAATAAATAGGGCCTCTGTGTCCAAGTGACCATCATAATAGTTAGCATGACTTCAAGAAAAAGCTTTTTGTTGATTAAAATCCAAGCTCCTTCCAGGAAATAGCATTTTCTCTTGACATTGAGTTCTTGGGTCTCTCACAGCAAAGGTCTGATCTAACTGGAATGCATACTGGGCTTCGTTACGGATCACCCGTGCCACATACAATGTGCTACAGTCAGTTCCCTCAAAGTGAGATGGGAGCCTTTAAAACTTTTCCTTTACAAATTAAACATTATAGTTTTTTTTTTTTCCTTCTGCATTGTGTATGTAAATGCTGATTTCTGTGCTCTGAGATCTGGTGGCAGTCTGGATGTGGGCATTGTCATTTCAACAAAGAATCTCCTGTCTCAAAGTCCCATAAATGTTGTTTTCCATCATCTCTGATTGGTTAGTAGGGAGCCGAACAGCCAATGGCTGGGCAAGAGAGGAAAGGAGTAGGACTTCCAATCCCAGTCAGGGGGTCTTAGGTAGGGTCCTAAGAAAGTGGAGGAGAAAGAGAAGGTTGGTAGGCCACAAGTAGGTTACCATGAGGGAATCACAATGAAGACAAAGATGGAGCAGGAGCTGCCAGGGTGAGACTAGAGGACGTGGCTGGGAAATAGTCGAGACCAGGATAGACAAGTTAGAATAAGTGAGTATCTGCCCAGCTTAGTGCTTTAAAGCTTATTAATAAACCTAACAGACCTCCATGTCTTTATTTGGGAGCTACAACAGGTATATAAGAAACTACTTATATTATTTTACAAATAGTTTTGTAGGCTATACTACAAAGGCCTATTTAATCTTGAATATCACTGAAATTCTATGAAATTGCTAAAAAGACACAAACGATCACAATATAAACAGTTGAAGTAGAAAATAATAAAACTATCCCATGGACTAGCCTATTTTTCCATATATGGCTTTTCTAGCAATAGCATCTGCAAAAGGCATATTTAATTTGAAGAGGATAGAGACTATGGCGGAAATATGGCATTCTGAATTTCAAGGCATTGGATTTCTTGTTGATGCATCCCCATCTTTCTCTCTCACATGAAGGCCTTTGCTTTCCTTACTCAAGGACATCTCCAAATCATCATGACTTTCAGCAGCTATGGACAGGGTCACTTAAGACTCCCACTGACAAAGAGAAAGTCATGGAGCCACTCCCTAGGCATGCCCCCCCAGGCTCTCCCATGAATCCTTGAATACTGCTTACTGTCACCCTCCCTGTCTTAGTTACGGTTACTGTTGCTATGACGAAAAACCATGACCAAAAGCAAGTTGGGAGGAAAGGGTTTATTTGGCTTACAGTTCCACATCATAGTCCATCACTGAAGAAAGTCAGGATAGGGACTCAAGCAGGGCAGGAACGTGGAGGCAGGAGCTGATGCAGAGGCCATGGAGGCGTGATGATTTCTGGCTGGCTCAGCCTGTTTCTTACCCCAGATCACCTGCCCAGGAATGATACTTCCCACAGTGAGCTGGGCCCTCCCACACCAATCAGTAATTAAGAAAATGCTCAGTCTTATGGGGGCATTTTCTCGATTGGGGAGCCTTCCTCTCAGATGACTTTAGCCTGTGACAAACTGATGTAAAATTAGCCAGCACACTGCCTGTACAGAAAAACCATACAAATGAGGAGAAAATCATAAGAAAAAAAAAAAAAACCAACTTAAAAAAAAAACAGTTGAGTAAAATTTAGAAAAGACGAGACAGGGAAGAAATATTTTAAAGATCTAAAATGTAATTTTTAAACACTTGCATCTGGGACACTCACAGTGTGTGATCTATCTGAGATCCTTTGCTGCACGTAATCCTCAGGCATGCATGGCTAAGAGGCAGCGTAACTGCAGTACTGTACTAGTTTTATGAATGAGAAGGCCGAAGCACAGGAAGCTCAGTAATTTACACAAATCCATGCTGCCTGGAAATGCTACAGCCAGATTCGAACCAGCCTATCCAGCCTGAAGCCTGGGCTCTTAAAACGCCATTCGAGTTATATGAGAAGATACCTGTGGAAGAACTAGCTGAGCTCAGAGAGTAAGAAGACCTGAGCTGCCCGAAGAGCTGCCTCCAAGGGAGGAAAGCAGTGGTTGGAGAAGAGATAGTGGATGAGAACTTTACCAACAAATTATCGCAGGAAGACTTGAGCTGGCACCAGTGGCCAAAGCTCTGACAGTTTTCCCTGCAGTGAGCTCATGAATAAGCAACAGGGAACGGAGAGCGGGGGCCTCAGGAGGAAACAGGCAGAGGGGAAGCATTATAAGTGAACCACACACAGCAGCAACATCCATGAGGTGGGTGTGCTTAGTCGGAACGTCTCTTAGGAATGATTATTTTGTAGACTTCATAACATTTACACACACACACACACACTCAACAGAGAGGCAGCAGCAGGAAAAAATAACTTATAAGAGAAACCAATGGTTTTCGTCTATAATCAAATTATACCAAACTGCTGCAGCATCCTGACACTAGCTCTTAGTGAGTGGTGTTAATTAAAGCGGTGTGTTCTCGATTTCAGTGTTCCAAACAGCAAGGAGTGAGTGTGACTGTGTTTTCTGAACTTGCTTATGAAAATGAGTGTTCTGACGCCCACTTCTGCAGCTGGGGTCAAGGTCACTGCATGCATGGCTTAATGGAAACCAACGGGCCACTTAAGTGACCTCTTTCAGCAAATAGCACTTGATCT